GGAGGCTATTGGTATCTTCAATCGAATAATACTAAGGAGGTAATTGATACCTTCAACCAAATAATACTATGGAGGTTATTGATATCGTCAATCGAATAGTACTATGGAGGTTATTGATATCTACAACCAAATAGTACTATGAAGGTTATTGATATCTTCAATCGAATAGTACTAAGTAGGTTATTGATACCTTCAATCGAATAGTACTATGGAGGTTATTGATACCTTCAATCGAATATTACTATGGAGGTTATTGGTATCTTCAACCAAATAGTACTATGGAGGTTATTGATATCGTCAATCGAATAATACTATCGAGGCTATTTGTATCTTCAACCAAATAGTACTATGGAGGTTATTGGTATCTTCAACCAAATAGTACTATGGAGGATATTGGTATCTTCAACCAAATAGTACTATGGAGGTTATTGATATCGTCAATCGAATAGTACTATCGAGGTTATTGGTATCTTCAACCAAATAGTACTATGGAGGTTATTGATATCGTCCATCGAATAGTACTATGAAGGTTATTGATACCGTCAATCGAATAGTACCATCGAGGTTATTGGTATCTTCAATCGAATAGTACTATGAAGGGTATTGGTATCTTCAACCAAATAGTACTATGGAGGTTATTGGTATCTTCAACCAAATAGTACTATGAAGGCTATTGATATCTTCAATCGAATAGTACTATGGAGGTTATTGGTATCTTCAACCAAATAGTACTATGGAGGTTATTGATATCGTCAATCGAATAGTACTATCGAGGTTATTGGTATCTTCAATCGAATAGTACTATGTTATTGGTATCTACAACCAAATAGTACTATAAAGGTTATTGATATTTTCAATCGAATAGTACTATCGAGTTTATTGATACCTTCAACCAAATAGTACTATGGAGGTTATTGGTATCTTCAATTGAATAGTACTATGAAGGTTATTGGTATCTTCAACCAAATAGTACTATGCAGGTTATTGATATCTTCAATCGAATAGTACTATAGAGGTTATTGATATCTTCAATCGAATAATACTATAGAGGTTATTGGTATCTTCAATTGAATAGTGCTATGGAGGTTACTGGTATCTACAACCAAATAGTACTATGAAGGTTATTGATATCTTCAATTAATCAGTTTGGAGGTTATTCATATCTTCAATCCCATTCGACTGACGACATTGAATAACAATTCTATACAAGGGGCATATCAAACGGCCTAAAATAGCTCAAGCGCGGACAAAATAATCATACATCATGTCGCGGCGTTGTGGTACAAGTACTGCACAAGGCATCATCAAGACCGTCAGTTCACCGCCACACATACCTGTCTCCTTGACTTCCTTCATCAGATTCTTCGCCTTGGATGAATCGTCCAGCAGATTGACGTCCTTGCGACACAGTGATACTAGGATGGGTGTGAGATTGCCCTCTAAGGCCAGAAACCCCTTGGCAAACGCGGCGGCTGTGGTTTGCACGCGGCCCTATATGGTTGTATATGTGTAGGTGCAAGTATATGCGCATGTGTAATTGTAATTGTATGTGTCAGTGTATGTGTAAGTGTATGTGTATGTGTAGGCGTACGCATACGTATCTATATATGTACATGTAATATGCACATAAATGTGCACGTACATGGGGCCCTGAAATAATAAGAGAGTAAAGAAGTCAAAAGGTAAGCATCGATAAGCGTCGCTTCATGCAATACGTATATATAGATATGTGACTGTTTACCAGCACTCCTTATTGGGAGTGGTATGTATGCGCGTATGCATGATGGAATCGACGTAATAGCAGCTCTAAGGTGATCACACTCATATCAATTTGATATAGTCAGGTTCAGGGTTCAGAGTTTCAGAGTTTTAGAGTTTAGAGTTTACGGTTTGAAGGTTTAGCCTTAAAAAAGCCAATGCCGTTCTAATTCCTAAACATAATTTAACCATGCGCTGTATTCGCGAATGCACAACCCAAGGACACCTGGCTTTGCACGCCAGCAGTACAGTATACGATGTATGTGCGGATGAGAGTGAAGGTGAAAATCGAATGGGAAGACAATCCCTCGAATAGGAAAGCCTGCAACAACCCCCACACACACCACTCATAAGGCCCTGGCAGAGTGTTAGCAACACACGCACCAGATACATCATCTCAACCATATCCACCGCAACGCTCGAATACAATCATTAGCATACACATACGCACATGCACACACATACACACACACCCACACCCACACCCACACCCACACCCACACCCACACCCACACCCACACCCACACCCACACCCACACACACAAGCACCCTTGCCCCAGAGATTGGTGGCGTGGCCCCCTCACCTCGTCCGAGCAGTAGATCTTCAGGTCGTGTCTGAAGGTGCTGTGCAGTCGCAGTAGGCCATGGCTTTCTCCTGGGTACATCGTGTGGCGGTATGTCTCGCCTAGCTGTCTGGCCTGCTCTCGGCCCAACTGAGTGAGTTCACCGCCCCATTTGAGCACCAGGAGAGCCTCCTTGACAGAACCCTACGTATGTAGATGCGAGTGTGTGCATTGCATGGTTGGGTTTTAGATGTTATGTACCATATACTTATATCCATGTTATGTATGCTATACTTATATCTATGTTATGTATGCTATACTTATTTCTAAGTACAAACACATGAGCTTATACGCGATCATCGCCTTTCGCACCAAACATTTAAAAAACGAGACACTAAACGGACACTTGCAACACCTGTACGCCTAACTCCGCCTTTGTCTAATCTCAGTACCAATGTCCCTGAAATAAACATCCGACAATCCGATGATACGACATTACGATAATACGAGAATACTCCACCCCACTGATGCTATTGCCGCCCGCCGCAGCCAAAAACTAATTTTCGTAATCCCGTCACACTCACAAATAGTAATTTTGGAAGCCCGTCTTCTCGTTACCATAGCAACACCCAACCCAGTACTTAAACACTGGTCAAACGCAAAATAGAAACTATAAATACTTAACCACTTCTCACCGCCACTCACCTTGATACTACTACACTATAATCACTTAAGCGCTTCTCACCGCCACTCACCTTGATACTACTACACTATAATCACTTAAGCGCTTCTCACCGCCACTCACCTTGTTACTAATACACTATACTCAATCAAGCGCTTCTCACTTTGATACTAACACACTATAAATACTTAACCACTTCTCACCTTGATACTAGTACACTATAATCACTTAACCATTTCTCACCGCCACTCACTTTGATACTAATACACTACAATCAATTAACCACATCTC